AGATGATACCTTACTATTATTTACTTTGATTTGCATTTACCAAAAAAAATAAAGAGATGATAAACATCTTTATATGTGCCTACCAGATGTGTGAATATCTTTAGAGGAGTATCTATTCAGATTATTCGTCCATTTTTATACAAAAAGAAAAAAAATACTAATACACCAAAAGAGAGACAGACACTGACAATGTCATAATAATATTAAGGAACTCTAATACCCTACTCATAGCAATAGACAGGCTATCCAAGCAGAATACTTTCAAGGAAATAATGATTTTAAATGACAAGTTTATAGAGCATTTCAGCTACTCCTTCCTATACTCCTATAAAATAAAATTGTTTATCCCCTCCCCAAATACTAATTGAACATTTTGAAGGATTTTAATTTTTTTTTACTATATTTCCTGTGTTGGGATATACTAATATGATTACTTTTGTATACATTCCTTTATCATTTTATAATATCCTTTCTTTTTTTTACCTTTTGAGACTGGAAATCTCTTCTATGTTATGTAAGAATAGCAGGGTCTTTCAAATTTTGCCACTGGCTTGTAGTACCTATTTTTATTTTTGATTTATAACCTTGAATGAGTCTCTTGTAGCATATAGTTGGGTTTTGTTTTCTACTCCATCCAATCATTTGATAGGTGAATTCAGCCAAACTTACATTGTAACTACTGATAAGAGGTCTCTTGTGCAATTTTATCTTTCTTTTTTTTTTTAGGAGGTTGGGGGAGGGGCTGTATTTATTGCCTGTGTAACTTTCTGAACTTTTTTTTTTTCTAAACTTAGATTTAACCTTTCTTAGAAAGTGGATCTAGTAGTGGTGAATTTCAATTTTTGTTTATGTGGGAATACCTTTCCCCCACTGTTCCCCCCACTCCCCATATCCAAAATAGTTAAACAGGACAGGGGACTTATCGCCATCAGTTTTTGAGTATTTTATAGTATGTCTTTTATTCTATTCTGGCCTGCAGTTATTGCTAAGAGGCCTGATGAGAAATATATTTATATGTTATCTATTTTCTCTAACCTCTTTGTATTGATCTTTTTCATTTAGATAACTAAATATTCTTTGAGCTCATGACCTTGTATATTGAGGCTTTGGAAGTTCTCAACTACTATTTCTTTAAATAATCTTTCTGCTTCCTTCTCTCTCCATCTTCTGAGACAATCCTATGTGTTTTTTTTCTTAATGGCTTGGGTTATATCTTAACATTTCATTTTTTCTTATTTTTCTTTCCTCTTTTGTCTAGATCATATCTAGATTTCTCTTTCACCTCATAGATTTGATCCTTGTGCTTGTTAATTTTATTCGATGAATGCTTTTCTGATTTTTTTAAGTCTGAGTTTCTGCATGATAGTTATCTGAGTTCACTTCTCCTTTAGGTAGAACTGTTGGGAAGATAAAACTTCCCCTGCCCTCTAATATATGGAGGGTTGTTATTTTTTCCTTATGATGTCATAGTACCTTGGGGTCTCAAGTTGCATGGTACTATATTATTCTGTCTGACTATTAGATTATTTTTTACCACCTTTTATATTTTACTGACTTCTTTAAAATTTTGAGGATTGCACTACTTATTGTTTACTTTTTTTGCATGTGCTTCACTGCTTTTTTTCCCTCTTTTTAATTTTTTATAACTATAACTGCTGTCTGTTATAGTTGCCTTTAAATACGCTGGATGTCTAAAGTAGTAGTTTTCTACATTTTTACAACTGTGGACAAGTGAAAATAAGGGAAATATTTCATGCATCGCTAAGACTTTTATATACCGATATTTGTACTAATGGGCTGGAGCAATAGCACAGCGGTAGGGCGTTTGCCTTGCATGCAGCCAACATGGCCAACCCGAGTTCGGTTCCTCCACCCCTCTCGGAGAGCCCGGCAAGCTACCAAGAGTATCTCGCCCACACAGCAGAGCCTGGCAAGCTCCCCATGACATATTCGATATGCCAAACACAGTAACAACAAAGTCTCCAATGGAGACGTTACTGGGCCTGCTTGAGCAAATTGATGATCAACGGGAGGGCCTTGTACTAATACTGATGCATGGGGTCGAAGTGTTCCAGGTGTGAACTGGCAGCAGCTTTTTCACAGACTAGCATGAAATGTCTATGGACCACAACTAGTCTGCACACTGATAGTCAAAAAATACCGGTGCAGGGAGGGGCTTAGAGGTTTAGACCAGCTACTACCATAGATGATGTGGGGAGACTGGTTTGTGCATGGCAACACTTTTGGAGTCTAAGATCCAGATGTGATTCTATCCATTGTGGCATTTTTAAGGTCGCAGATCCCCAGTGATGACAATGTGTCATATAGAACATTTTCTCTGTTCTTTTCTTTGCTGACTCTAACACTAGCAAAGAAGACAACAAAGAAGGCATCTTAGCTCTGCTCTTTAGTTGAGAAAGCATTTCGGCTCTGTTCTTTCCTAAAGATAAGAGCTTTCCTCTCCTCTGTTTTTCCCTCCTCCACAATGCCTTTTGATTGGGCACATAGCCTTTCTATCTCTGTCCCCCTCCGTACTGCCAATTCCATACATCACACAGACACACTGGTCTCCGGCATGCCCTCTAATGTAATTTGTCTCTGAGTAAAATGGTTGCTTCAACTGCACTGTGGGATTTTTTGCTAATATATTTAGATGTTGCCATTGTAATTGAAATAAGGAAAGTCTTCTTTCTTTTGAACAGGAAAGGTAGGTAGCTTTCATTTCTCCCGTATTATATAATTTTAATTTCTAAGTTATCCGTTTAATCTTCTGTAATTTTTTAAATAAAAATCATTTTTAATCTTTATTGAGGGTCTGTGATTTACAGTACTGTTAATGGTTTTTTGTGGGGGGAGAGGTCACAACCAGTGATGCTCAGGGGTCACTCCTGGCTCTGCACTCAGGAATTACACCTAGCATGCTTGGGGGACCATATAGGATGCTGGGGATCAAACCTAGGTTGGCTGGCCCTGTGCAAGGCAAAAATCCATTGTACTATTGCTCCAGCCTCAGTGCTGTTAATGAGTTTTGTATATATATTATTCCAATACACTCATCACTATAGTGGGTACCCACTTCTTTTCCCCTTGGTCCCCAAGGCTCTCCCACTCAAACAACCTCCCCCTACCCTCCCTCCAACTCCCTCAGCTCTGTAGACCAGCTCCTTAGTTTTGTTGCCTTTGACCATTTGTGGTTGTTTACTCTATCTTTAAATCCCACAAAAGAGAAATTTTTCCTGCTGAATCACTTTCATTCAGTATGATACCCACTAAGGAATTTCAAATTATCTCCGTTTTTATATACCTTATGTGGGAATTTTGTTTGACCTTTAAAACTTTATTGTGATACAATTTTGGGGGAAGAGTTGGGACTGAATTATGTTCCATAATTTCACGGTATTCATAATATTTTCTTCTTTACTATATTTTTATCTAACTAGCTGAAACAGTACCACAAGTCAACAATTAAAGCACTTTCTTCAAATAGCTTTTCCCCTTAATTCTAGGTAGTTTTTCTTGCTTTTTGTCACATTACTTGATCAGCAGAGTAAAACAGAAAAAAACAATGCCTGACTTTTCTTTGAGTTTTGAGCGATAGCACAGCGGGTAGGGCGTTCGCCTTACAAGCGGCCAACATGGCCGACCCGAGTTCGATTCCTCCGCCCCTCTCGGAGAGCCCGGCAAGCTACCGAGAGTATTGGATATGCCAGACACAGTAACAACAAAGTCTCCAATGGAGACGTTACTGGGCCCGCTCGAGCAAATCGACGATCAACGGGAGGGCCTTTACCTTTACCTTTACCTTTGATTTAAAAGAATGGTGTTAAAAACATACTATACTGTAGGGGCTGGAGTGATAGCACAGTGGGTAGAGCATTTGCCTTGCATGCAGCCATCCTGGGTTCAATCCCCAGCATCCTGTATGGTCCCCTGAGCACTGCCAGGAGTAATTCCTGAGTGCAGAGCAAGGAGTAGCCACTGTGCTTCCCTGGGTGTGATCCAAAAAAGCAAAACAAACAAAAAAACATACTATGTATCAGTAAAGTAGCCCTCTGCATTATTAATTGCCAATGTAGACTGAGTTATTGTCTTGCTAAGAAAATTCAGTTTTGATTCAGTTTTGAGGGACAGAGCAATTAGGATAGGGCTCTTGCCATGGTCTACCTGGGCTTGATCCTAGTACCACATATGGTCCTCTGAGCCTGCCAGTAGTTATTCCTGAACATAAAGGCAGGAGTAAGCCATATCTGAGCCATATCTGAGCACTGCCAGATATGGCACAAGAGCCATTCAAAAAAATTTTCAGTTTTCTTATTTCTTCTTAGGTAACTCCTTAAATATTTCTCAACCTTTTTCCTCTGTTTTTCCCTCCTCCACAATGCCTTTTGGTTGGGCACATAGCCCTTCTATCTCTGTCCCCCTCCATACTGCCAATTCCATACATCACACAGACACACTGGTCTCCGGCATGCCCTCTAATGTAATTTGTCTCTGAGTAAAATGGTTGCTTCAACTGCACTGTGGGATTTTTTGCTAATATATTTAGATGTTGCCATTGTATCTGAGCATATCTGAGCCATATCTGAGCACTGCCAGATATGGCACAAGAGCCATTCAAAAAAAATTTCAGTTTTCTTATTTCTTCTTAGGTCACTCCTTAAATATTTCTCAACCTTTTTCCAACTATAGCTTCCTTCTGACCATTTCCTTTCTGTGACCTGCCTTTCCTACTTGTTGGCTCCTGAGTCTCAGGTGGTAGCCTGTTTACCTATTTTTTTACCTTTAATATCTAAAACAGCCCCCATAGTAAAATTTAAATTGTCTTCAAATTTTAATGAATCACTTATTGCTTTAAAAGAGCTGATTCTATCATCCAGATTTGGCAGTTTGATACTGGTAAGTTCTTTTTAAATCTAGGCCCTAAAAATAACTTCTCAGAAAAAAATCTTGCTGTGTAACAAGTTTTATTTAGCATTTTTGTTAACAAAATACATGAATAATTGAAACCATTATTAACAAGCTACATATGTATTTTTCCGTAGGAAAGCACAAGGAGAAGACAAAAATATTCTCAGTCTCAAGAATTTTTCAATGAAGTAAAAAGTTCTTCACGAGAATCCAGCAATACACAGTTGCCAAATTCATTTTATGAACCTCATCAAGATTTTACCAGTCCATATAGACTCAACAAGTCAAGATTTCCGTCTTGGGACACATATACTTCTACAACTGCTATGCAGGTCACAGACTTACAAAGTTCCACAAGATTTTCTCTTAGTGAAGAGACAAAGGCAGATATGTATTATTTTGCCATCATTTTCTGTCTTTTGATATTGGTGTGGTTTGCTATATATTTTTTCTGAAGATAATTTTTCAAATTTCCAGTTCTTTATGAGCATGCCATATTCTTTTTTTTTTTTTTCAGGATTTCCTCCCATACATTTTCAAGGTAATTGGCTAATAAAAAAGAGAGAATACAGTTTAATACTGTTTATGAATATTCTAAAAATTGCAATTATTTTCATTCAAAATAGACTCATTATATAATTTGGAAAATCGTTTTAAAAAATTACTGTGCATTCCATTCCTGGCACTGTTGTGGATCAAACCTTGGATCATACACATGCAGGTATGTGTTCTACCATTTAAGCCACAATCACAACATAAATAGTTTTATATCTATCTCTCAGAAACTTTGCTTCTAACTTTTTCATATGCTCAGAGAAACATTTTAGAAATTAGATATCTATGTAAGTTTATCTAAAAATTAGGGGTACTATGAAATGTGCTTAATTACTTACCTTACTACAGTAAGGGCATTCACCAAATATGATGTTAAAACTCTGTCTACTAGTCAGTAGTCCCCTCAACCACTGAAAATTTTGAAAAGAAAAGATGGAGGGAGAAGAATCAACATAAGTACAATTTACATATTCCAAATCAACATAAGTACAATTTACATATATTCCAAATATTTCAGGCTTACCTTTTAAATTTTCTTTGGCAAGAGTGCAGGTAGGGGTTCCAAAATGGATTTCAAAGCCTATGCCTACATTTTATGCACAAATTTTAGGCCCCATTAGAGAATTAAAGAATTTGACAAAAACTATGCACTTTCTCCATCCCCATAACAGACACAAATCTAATGTATACAAATCAAAGGGGTTCACAACCCTTTGATTTCTATACATATTAAGCTCTCCTACTGTTAAAGATACCATAGGCTCTTGAAAATTTAGGTGTTAATCACCAATAGTGTTTTAAATTTCAGTCCATGAATGACAAGTATGAAACAAATCACTTTTTAAAAAGTAAGTGAATATCCATTGTTGCAAAAGAAAGCGTATGTTTCCTGAATATTATTTCATTAATTAGGCTTGGTGTTACACGATTTTATATAAGGTAATTCACTAAGTTCTCCAATGTTAAATACAGATGGCACCAACTACTATCTCTGATCAAAAAAACAAAAAAGATCAGAAGGTGACTATTACTGAAGATTTCACATATACTATATAATAAAAAAATCTCTGAATCCTGTGATATGTTCAGAATATAGAATACTTCTTCCCAGCAGCAAAGTAGAAGCACACTAAAGTAAAAATACACTATTAAACTCTATTAAATCAACACTGTTAAACTTAGCCTCAAAAGTGATAGGTGTTATTCCATAGTGCTAGATTCTTTATTGCCACCATTATTCCCATCTGGATGAATTCATAAAGTTTGCATTATGGTTATGAGATATTTACTAAAAGATTCCAATGTATCATCCATTAGTTTTGCATATTCATCATACACATGTAATGTATCCCAGTTTGGGATACTTTAAGCTATTGGCATGTGGGATAAATTGTTAAGAAACTTAACAGCAAAAGGATCCCTAATGACCAGAGGTTAGACTGTATATTTTCAATACTCATATTTAATATTTTGGTTAGCTGAAAGGTTTGGGTGATATTCTTTTATTTTTACCTCATATAAGCATATTTGATGGAAAGGTTGTCCACACTTTGGATTATCACACATTTGATCGGGAATGGCACCATCCAGTTGATAGGCATAACAAATTCCACAATCCATAGAAAAATCCTTTAAATAAATAATGATGATTTTATGGTTAGAGAGATAGTATCAGGCTGTAGGCACTTGCCTGGAATATATGGTTGACCCTGGTTCAATTCCTAGCACCACACATGGTCCCTTTTAAGCACTGCAAGCTCTGAGCACCACCTCAGGAGGTGTGGGCCTCCTTCTGCCCAAGAAAATGATGTCTAAAATATGAAGGTAAAATATGAAAAAAAAATATGGTATGGAGTAGTTTTCACTCTCCAGTATGCAGATACAGAAACGTTAAAAACCTCTGGTACATATATAAATTTTTATAGAGGTGATCCTATCATTATTAAAATAACTTAGAATAGCTAGTGCTATTTTTTTCATCCAATAATTTTCTAATATAGTACATGAATACAATGATACATTAATATGTAAAGGTAGAAACTGACAGTGATTAGTTTAAATTTCAAAAGTTTTGTAAAGGAAAAAGTCAAACAGCCCAACCACTTTAATGGTTTACAGCCTTAGCAGTTTTGTCAAAAACTCGAATCCCACATCAGATAGCTCAAATGGTGGCATAAATGTTATATGTGCTGGAGCCTTAAGGTCAATACCAGCATTGCATGTTCCAAGTACACCCAGATATAATCCTGCCATATCCAGCAAAGTATTAATTATTTTCACAGCTTAAGTAAATCTACTTTTTAAAAATGGGACTGCCATTCTTCACAAACATTGTATAAGCTAATTAGAACTTTTTTAGTCATCTGAAAGCAGACAGTATAGAAAATCCAAACAACTCATTAACTACTTCAGACCTTTCCCCTTTATTTTTAATAAATCACTTAACTGCTACAAAGGTCACACAAAAGTACATTTATAACCACCAATCAGAGGTTAACAAGTTCTTTGTAACTATTGCCTACAGTCCCAAATTCTTTGAGCAGTATTCTACCCCTTCCCTTTCAGTCTCTTCTTTTCCTCTGGTGCCTAAAAGAACACTTATCTTTCATTATGTAATTCTGTTTGTTATATCAAAGAACTGAAAAACTTACTGATTTTTCTAGGACAGCTCGAGCTGGAAAATCAATTTCTAAAACATCTTTCAAATTTTGTAATAGAGTATTTTCTGGATCCCTGAAATCATACAGGAGAAAACTATTATTAAATTTGTAAAGTATAGAAAAGTAACAAAATATTATTTGCAAAGATACCTACCATAAATGTATGTTTCTGCTCAGCTTGATTCCCAAGGGTTTTGTTACTAGATAGGATTTAAGAGGGGAAACGTTTAATACCTTAATAAAAATTTATTATTTTAAACAAGGTTTGCTGTTCATTTTTAAAATCATATTTCACACAGGACTTCTTTTTGAGATATGACTGATATATGACACTGCATGAATTTTAGGTGTACAATATAATGTATATATTTTGAAATAATTATCAGTATGTGTACTCATTATCTCTCACTGCATTTTGTGAGTACTTTTAGGATCACAGTAAGTTCACTTCACTCAGCATAATTAATTAGAAAATAGAATGCAAAAAGTATTACAAAAAGCACAAAGAAGACAGATTAAAATGATGAAACACTTTCATTTAAAACAGTCATCTCTAGGAGCAGGGGAGATAGCTCAAAGAACTAACATGCAAATTTGAGGCCTGAGTTCAAACCCCAGCCATGTGAGAATAACCCTGCTGACCCCAGGAATGATTAGGCCTCCACTGCCAGGCTCTCAGAAAGTGCCAGGGGACTCCAACCACCACTGAGGAAGCCAAGCTGAAACACATTTCCAATAAATTAATCACCATCAAGATGTTCATATTTTAATAACGCAGGTAAAATTTTTTAAATCTATTAAAAACACTTCAATCTCAGATTTTATACCATGATCCGCTCCAAGAAAACAGCACTCAGGAAGCATCGTCGGATGCCGAGGGTCTACGTCAATGTTTATTGAAGCATTATTCCCTACAATATTAAAGATTTTAGAAAGTAGAAGAGTTATCAAACAAGGATTTTTTTAATATTCGTTTTACATCCAATGAAAAATTAATCACATTTTAGAAATAATTTTTTATAAAATATTTATCAATTACTGTGATAATAGCTACTTTTGTAAAAACATAATCTCTTATTCCATGTGAAGCTTTCCCATGTAACTTAAGTTCAAATTATCATTAATTTGTCTGGGGAGCCACGTCCAGCAATGCTCAGAGGATACCTCTGGCTCTGCACTCAGAAATTACTCCTGGTGATACTTGGGGAACCATATGGGATCCTAAGGATCAAACTGGGTTGGCTGCTTGCAAGGCAATTGCCCTACCTGCTGTACTATCTCCCTAGTTTAAAATTCCAATCATCATTTAATTGAAGATTATTCACTTAGTTTTTAAAAACCTAGGTTGCAGAATTTAAAAAAAAAGTTAGATTATTGTAACACTGTAGCACTGTCCTCCCATTGTTCATGAATTTGCTCTAGGGGGCACAAGTTACATCTCCATTGTGAGATGTGTTGTCACTGTTTTTGGCATATCCCATACACCACAGGGAGCTTGCCAGGCTCTGCCGTATAGGCGGGATACTCTCGGTAGCTTGCCTGGCTCTCTGAGAGGGACGGGGGAATCAAACCCACGCCCTACCCTCTGTGCTATGATTTTTTTAGGGCTGGAGCGGTAACATAGCTGGTAGAGCGTTTGCCTTGTACACGGCTGACCCAGGTTCGATTCCTCTGCCCTCTCAGAGAGGCTGGCAAGCTACCTAGAGTATTCTGCTGGCACAGCAATGCCTGGCAAGCTACTGTGACTTACTCGGTATGCCAAAAACAGTAACAAGTCTCACGATGGAGATGTTACTCGTGCCTGCTGGAACAAATTGATGAACAATGGGAAAACAGTGCTATATTAGATTTTTATACATATTATTTTGCACATATAAGTATACTGATAATAAAAATTTCAGAAATTTTACTATTTTTTTCTTTTTGGCTTTTTGGGTCACACCTAGAGATGCTCAGGGGTTACTCCTGCCTCATGCACTCAGGAATTTACTCCTAGCAGTGCTTGGGGTACCATATGGGATGCTGGGAATCAAACACAGGTCAGCCACGTGCAAGGCAAATGCCCTACCCGCTGTGCTACTGCTCCAGCCCCTACTACTACTTTTTGAAGACAGATATTACAAAGATCAATTTGGGTTTTAATTTATATTTTTATTTGCAAAATATCTTGATATATTCTGTCACTATAATTTATAGTACAAATCACTGTTCATCCCCAAGTTTTTGTTGACTTCATGCAAATAAAAAGCCTCACTTTACAGTCTAATATCATGCTTAGATTCATTAACATAAGTTGTACAAAATAAAAGCTCACAATCTTTTCCCCTACCTATGACAATCCTTCGTGCTTTCGCACTCCGTGTAGGTTTTTCTGGCTCAAGAACCCAAGTCTTCTCATCGATTTCATCCATAACATCCCAAAATACCTTCAGTGATTCTAATGCTGTCAAAAACTGACTATGAATACTTAATAAAGAGCTCTAGGAAAAGATGAAAACCAAATTGAGTTTATAACACTATCAGCAATAGTCCTTTCACTTAATTCAAGTTAGTAATTTTGAAGTTTTATATTAGCTAAAACTACTCAGTAAAAAAATTCAAATCTTCACTGCTTCACCATTGTAAGAATTATTTTTGTCACTAGACTCTGCACCTTGTAGAGAAAGACCTTGCACCTTGTGGATAAAGAATCATGTTTTTAAACCTTATGTTTATGGCCAGAGAAATAGCAGTCACATAAACCTTGTCATGCATGCACCCAACCCATGTTTAATCCCCAGCACTGTAGATGTACTCAGAACCCCACAGGAGTGATTCCTGAGCGCAGAGGCAGGAAGCCCTGAGCACCATCAGGTGGCCCCAAACCCCCCAAACCAAAGAAAGAAAAAAAAACTAAAAAAACATATAACTCTATGTTTATGATGACTTTCATAATATGTGTGGAATAGTAATTACCAATCATAAAAACATATGTATCTATAACACTTAGGAATGTTATATATAATGATAAGTTTAACATTTACTTTGGCCAGTTATCAAGTTAAATGAAGTGTTATTTGTAGTTCAATTATTACACTAGTACTTCACACTGCATCTGTAAATGTGAGTGCATAGAAGTTATGCTCTAACTTAATTTCCAATTTAAAAAGTCCAGTCAAGTTATTCAAATATAACTACCTGCAAACTCATAAAGCAGGCACTGTTTTCCATGTTTCCACATACATTTTCTTTCAAGATGCCAATTATAATGCACTTCAATTTCCATTTCTTTGGAAATAGATTGCTGTATCTCTATCCATTTGGGATAACTGTATGATGGTAATGATTTTTCTCTTTAAGCAAAGGAACATATCAAAATTAAGTTATATGGAATGGAACAGAGAGATACTACAGGAGACGGGGTACTTGCCTTGCAAGCAGCAGGCCTGGATTCGAGTCCCTAGTACCACTTATGGTCATACAAGCACCACCAAGGATAACTCTTGAGCACCACCAGTATGGCCCAAACCATCCTCCATTGAATAAAATATTTTAGTATATTTCTATATATTTTAGGGGAAAAGTCAAGGATACAACATGTAACTATCATCATTTTTTTTTAATACTGGGAATTTCTTCAGTTTTTTGAAACTTTTGAGTACAGGAAATAGGTCTAGAATCACAAATTTTTAGCAGAAATAATAAAGCAATTATATATTTTAAGTGTGCTGAAGGTCCAAAAATTATACCCAGAAGATTACAACTGTGGATTTGCTAATCAAAAGAAAACTGCCATATTTTATTTACACATGCACATAATATAATTAAAGGAAATAAAGGAACAAGGATAAAAGATAATAAAAAAATGAGGTGATATTAAAATTTAGCAGGGGAAAAATTGTGTTCAAAAGCAATAAAACATAGGAAGTGAAGTATGGAGGAAATAAAGGAAGAGAGAATATCTTGGATAGATTAGGAACTAAGTAAAAAGCAATATGAGAAAACTACGTTCTACTCTAGCTACCACAAATATAAGCACCAAGTATCCACATTCTTGAAAGCATACCAATACATTTCAGCGGTTGATTTTATCTGTTCTGCTATTGGTCTAAAAGAGTAGAAATTTTGAGAGATTAATTCAATATTAGGTTCAGCTAAGGAGCCTTAAAATGCTCTGAAATGATATAAGAATACCCAGATGGTTCTATACATAAGATTTTCTCAGTAAAAGATCTATCTATGAGAAATCTATGCTGATTCACTGAAAACTTGTGATCAAAAAAACTAAAAAAAGATTTCTAGTCTCTTCAGTATAATAATATGGTATTTAAACCTTGAGATCATGAAGCATTATAAACTTAGTCTGGTCAAAAGATTTTCTATAACAGAAAATATTATGTATAAGTCATTAAGTCATTACCTTATAAAAATCACAAAGGCTTATTCTGTTTCTTACTTAGTTTACAACACTGAAGGACAGTTCATCTATTTTGGCAATGCTTGCCAATAAATCAAATTCCCTGAGAATAACGTAAGTGGACAGGTATAGAAGTTGCACTTATTCAATACTTAATAAATAAACCATCAGAAAATGATATTTTATCATTCTTCTAAAAACTTTAAAAGGCGTCATGTTTCTTATGAAGCATGAGTCAATAAACAGGAAGGTGGATGACAATTTCTTATAAGTACAGAAAAAGGTATCACTTTTTATGGCAGGTGGTGTGTGTGTGTGTGGGGGGGTGGATCCACATTGCACTTACTCTTGGCTCTGCACTCAGGGACCACTCCTTGAGGCTCAAGAGACCACATGGCAGGTGAGAAGGCTGGAGCAATAGCACAGCGAAAACGGGATTTGCCTTGCACATGGCTGACCTGGGTTCGATCTCCAGCACCCATATGGACCCCTGAGAATGCCAGTAGTAGGGTAGTAATTTCTGAGCACAAAGCGAGGAGTAACCCCTAAGAACCGCCGGATGTTGCCCCCAAACCAAAATAAGAAAAAGAAACCATATGTAGTTCTGAGATCAAGCTCAGGTTTGCAAGGCAAATGCCCTATCTGCTGTAGTTATATTTTATTAAAGAAATCAGAGGTCTGATTTCTACAGTGACATTAGCTTCTTTTGAATGGTTAAGCCTACTGTTGTGATGGTAAATCTAAAATTTAAAAATGGTACTACTGATTACAGAAATGGTAAACAATTTATTCATACTCTACAAAGCTGTATCTAGTTTCTTTGTAGAGTATAAATAAATATAGATCTTTGGATTTGGGGTTTTTTTAATGAAATATTTGCCTAGGCAAATATTCGTTCACACAAATATTTGCCAAAGACAATTTACTTAAAATGCTTTTTAAAACTATTTTTACATTTTAGGTAACATGGTGTTACTGCTTCAGCAGCAGTAGGGCGTTTGCCTTGCGCGCAGCCGGCCCGGCCAAGCCGGGTTCGATTCTTCCACCCCCCTAGGAGAGCCCAGCAAGCTACTGAGAGTATCTCGCCCGCACCGCAAAGCCTGGCAAGCTACCCGTGACATATTCAATATGCCAAACACAGTAACAAAAAGTCTCAAAAAATGGAGACATTAGTGGGCCCACTAGAACAAATCGATGAACAATAGGAGGACAGCGTTTGTTTTTTTGTTTGGTGTTACTGTTTATGGTTTGTTTTAGTTTTAGTTTGGGGGGGTCACACCCAGTGGTGCTTGGGGCTTAATTTTGGCTCTGTGTTCAGGAATCACTCCAGGCAGTGCTCAGGGGAATAATAATTGGTACAAAGGATAGAACTCAGATAGGGTCCATGCTAGACAAGCTCTAGACTATACTAACTTTTAAGACTCCATTTCTGATTTTCATGCATGAAGTTAATGTATCTCACCACTAGCAAAGTGCTCAATACCCTCCACCACTGTTTCTAGTCACTGCCTGTCTGCCTCTTCCACCCAGCCCCTCTTCACTACTGCAAAGTCACAAATGCTTTACCTTGCACTTTCTTCCAGGAAATTGATAGATTATCTAAATTTTATTAACCACTTTTAGACCACTTTAAAATCCAATTTATGTAAAATTTAAAATTCTAAAATTTTAAAATTCTATTTATAACTTTAAAATTCTATTAAAGTTTATGTATTTTATGCATAGTAACTTTTTCAGCTCCATTTACTGAAGACATTTTCTTTTCTTTTTAATTGAATCACTGTGAGCTACACTTACAAAGCTTTCATGTTTGAGTTTCATTCATACAATGATCAAATGCCCATCTATTCACCAGTGTACAATTTTCCACCACCAAAATCCCCAGTACACCCCCCCCCTGCAAGTTCCACCTCTCCCTCTTACTCTCTCTCTACTTATGCAATACAGATAATGAGGCAGAGGATCCTCTCTCTCTCTCTCTCTCTCTCTCTCTCTCTCTCTCTCTCTCTCTCTCTCTCTCTCTCTCTCTCCTTATGCAATACAGATAATGAGGAGCCATCATGCTTGATCCTTTATCTACTTTCAGCACACATCTCCCATCCCGAACAATCCCTCCAATCATCATTGACTTAGTCATGCCTACTCTATTCCAGCTGTCTTCCCCACAGCTCATGAGACAGGTTTTCAACTATGGAACAATATCCCTGGCCCTTGTGTCTACTATACTTGGGTGTCAGTCTCAGATTATGTTATTTTATATTCCACAAATGAGGCAGTCCTATGTCTGTCCCTCTCTTTCAGACTCATTTCAATTAGCATGATACCATGTTCATCCACTTATAGGCAAATTTCATGACTTCATCTCTCCTAACAGCTGCATAGTATTCCATTGTGTAGATGTACCAAAGTTTCCACTGTGTAGATATACCAAAGTTTCTTTAACCAGTCATCTATTCTCAGGCACTCGAGTTGTTTCTAGATTCTGGCTATTGTGAACAGTGCTGCAGTGAACTTAAGCTGCATCTGTCATTTCTACTGTGCTTTTTGCACCCTCAGGATATATTCCCAGAAGTGGTATTACGGGGTCATATGGAAGCTCAATTTCTAGTTTTCTGAGGAATGCCCATATTGTTTTCCAAAAAGGCAGAACCACTGGCATTCCCATCAACAATGAAAGAGAGTCCCTTTCTCCCTATATCCATGCCAGCACTGGTTGTCTTGTTCTTTTTGATGTGTGTCAGTCTCTGTGGTGAGATGCTATCTCATTGTTATTTAGATTTGTGTCTCCCTGATGATTAGCAATGCTGAGCATTTTTTCATGTGCTTTTGGCTCTTTGTATTTTTTTTTTTTTTGAGGAAGCTTGTGTTCTCCCCATTTTTTTTGATGGGGTTGGAGGTTTTTTTCTTGTACAATTCAACTGGTATCTTATATATCCTGGATATTAACCCCTTATCAGATGGGTATTGGGTAAATATTCTTTCCCATTTTGTGGGCTCTCTCTGTATTTTGGTCTATTGAGGTGCAGAAGCTTCTTAGTTTAATGTAGTCCTATTTGTTTATGTTTGTTTCCACTTCTTGGTCAG